TCCACCAGCGGGGATGGCCTGCTCAACAGCCTGGCAAGGAGAAACCAGGGAAAATGCGGCTGCAGGGGTGGCCCTCGAGCAAAGGCTGAGAGAGCTGCTGGCATGTAGCGCTCTGACACGTCTGCCTGTTTGTCAGGTCTGCTCTAGTTTTGATTTTGCTCTACTCTCAGCTTTGCTGCAGTCTCTTAGCGCCAATATATTCTCACACTCAGCAGTGCTGATCTCTCAAGTTCGGAGCACCAAACCCCAGGACTCAGAAGCATTGCAAACACCCCTCCAGAGCTGGTCTCAGTGACCGGCTTTAAGATCTCTTCTTGCTCTTGTATGAAGAAGATTGATTTCTGTTTTTCTTGTTTGACTGTTCTTACGCCAGCTGTTTTGCTCCCTGCTTCTAGGTCATGCCTTATTCCTCTGCTCAGCACTGTAAGGCTCACTTGCCCTGTTCATGAAATGGGGAGTGTCAGTCAACTCCCTCAAACCTGCTGCTCCAGAGGTGGCAGGTGAAGGACAAACATTGCCTTTACAGGAGGATTTAATGCACTTGGTCTCAAATGGCTGGATTTCTGCTAGTACCCAGTTTAACCCTCAGAGAAAACTGTTTGAATTCAGCACAAGCAAATGCGAACTTAACATAGCCTCCATCTCCTAACGTGAACAACCTGCGCTAGGAAGACTGTTTCTAAAGCAAGAAGGAAAAATAGCTAGAGTCAAGTAGGTCTCTGCCAGGCCAAAGGTACCCACCCTGCAGTTAAAAATCAGGGGTCTGACGCAGGATGGCTGCGTCGGAGCAGGCACCACGTGTCCGGGTTGCTGTTGCTTGCTCTGTGGCTCCTGGCAGTGCCCTCTCCTCTTGGCAAATATCTCGGCCAGGGGGATCAGCTGCTTGCAAAGAGCAATACGGAGAGGGTTTCTTCTGAACAAACGTACCCTGGTTTGGGTTGCTGAGTCAGCATGTTAGTTTGTCTCAATAAGGAGTTTTCTTCAGCCTCAGCAAGACCTCAGCTTGTCCAAAATCATGATCCCCAGTGAGAGGATGGCTAAAACGCTAGAATTGAGTGATACAAGTTAAGTTTCTTGGTAATAGCAGCCACAAGTGAGGCTGCAGTATTAACGTGTAGCTCTAAAGAGTTCTTTTGATGCAGAAATGTCAGCCCAGCCTGTGCATCTGAGGTAGGCACTGCAAGAGCTTTATGTGCAAGGGGCGATAAGGAGTTATATAGGGTGCAGGGTGAGCTAGTTACTGCTTGAGGAATGAAGCAGGGATGTCCTGATGCCTGGCCTGGGCAAAGGGCGAAAGGCAACATCCACATCGCTGTCTTAGAGATAAAAGGCAGGTGAAGTACCTGTGTCCAAGGATATGTTTTTATGCTTAAGGTTTTCCCAAGATCTTTGTTGCTCTGTAGAGCATAAGGCTTGCTTCGTTATTTTCTTTTTCCTAGTAATCCAAGCACTTTCAAGCAGGACAGAGACCATGAAGCCTGTCTTGTCCTATTTAAATGCTTGTCATTAGTTCAGTAGTGCGCTTCCTAATTATTCCATTTTCTGTGGGAAGGGAGTTTTGACAAAACTGCTCCGAATACTTGACAAATACAATGTATTTGATGCAGATACAGGGCAAAATGGCGTACTTCATAGACTTTTTGTGGCATTGCTATGGTAGCTAACTTCACCACATTATTAGGTGGCTCATCATCACTGGTCTGTGAAGGAGGTGTGTGTGCATATATATATATACATATATATATATATATATGTAATTTAAGCAGCTGAGTGCAGCAGGTATAGTAAGTTGCTCTACAGGACTGTGCTCATGCAGCTGTCAGAAGACGGATTCTGCCTTTATTTTCATTTGCCTTTATTTTTACATTGGAGGAAGAGCTTTCATAGGTGACTTCTGCCCTTGCTTTTTCAGTGAAATATTTGCATCCGTTTCCTTAGCCAGTTAGAAAGGACTGCCTCTCTGGTTTCCTAACTTTGGGGAGAGAAAGTAGGTGTGTAGGTGTGTGTGTGTGTGTATATATATGTGTGTATATATTTGATCTTAAGATTCATTCGACAACTTTGCAAGGAAAATAGTCCATCTCCTAGAGGGTTGCTCCCACTACTTCAACCTTCTGAAGAGCGAAAGAGTCCTGACAACGAAAATCTTAAGGGCTTTTTAAGCCCAGAAGTGCCTCTTCCACTAAGGAATTCATTTTCAACTTGGCAGCAAGAGCTGGACTTAAGCGCGTCCCAGCAGAGGTACCAGCAAGAGCAACCTCCTTTCACAATGTCCTGACAAAACTACCTCTGCCTGCCAGTCAGCAGCCCCTTCCCTTAGCCCAGGGGTTGCTAAAGCCAAAAAATAAATCCTACTGTCTTGGAAAGCATGCAAGGCTTTGCCGCATGAGGTGCAGTAATGAGATGGTTTGTGCTTCCATGGGCAGAGCTGCTCTAAGCACTCGGTGACCCAGCCCAGCTGCTGCGCGCGCTGCCCTCGAAGCAGGAGCTTCACAGGAAGAAGCTGCCTGAGCAGGAGGGCCAAGAGAAACCAAGCTCTGGACACCACCAAGCTTTGATTTATTGTCTCAGCCATTTTCTTAGCAGAATTGCATGTTCTAAGTATTTTATGGTAAGATTCCCTAGTAAATAAAACAGAAATGAAAGCAAAATAAGTTATTAAACACCAAGAGAGTTGTGAAATAATAACAAATCTGTTTAAAGGGGTTCGGGAATTCCTGTGCATTCTCAAAGAAAAGGAGAAGGAAAGGAAAGCTTATGCACACATCTCATGTGCAAGCTGAGCACAACATATCTACTAGTACTAGTAAACTAGTACATTTAAATGCTTTCTGTATTGAAATATATAATGCATATATTGGATGTGAAAAAAGTCCATGCGTGTGATTAAATTCATCTCTATTGCTGTGCTTATATTTTCTGAACGCTGTCTTTCAGAGCTCGCCAAACTCAGAGGTTCAGTCTGAGACTGTGGAATGTGTTTTTTCCCTCCACATCACGGTGCTGTGTGCATGTTTGTACCTGTGCAGCAACAGTCTGGAAAGCCCCTGCTAGAGCTAGTTCGTCCCTCTAGGGAGCCTGGACTTGCCTTATCACAATATAAGCACTTAACGCAGAAAATGTTTCTGGACAGTTTAATGCGATGAAAAAACAAGCAGTACAAAACCTGTTTCAGAGCAAATAAAGATGGTTGTAGTACTCACTCAAATGGTTTTTAAAGCAATTTATGGGACATATTGCATGGTTTTGTTTTAATGTCATCTCTAATCTTCATGTATTATGCTGGGGATAGCTCAGTCTAAGTTGTTCTCATGATTCAAAACTTACTAGTCTGAACCAGGAAACTTATCATAATGGCTATAATTAGTAGAAAAAAAAAAAGACCTTTTTTCTTTTTGGTAAAGAGAAGGCATAAACCTCACACCTCTATTAGCATTTCTTGATGGAGCCGGTTACCCCATGAACAAAATGGATTCAACTTACTTCCTTAAGCTTATTAAGTAAACTAAGCTGCTGGTGGTTACCAGAGGGAAACAGGCCAACGTTTCACTGGCATTTAAAAAAAAGCATCATGTGATAATGTCATTAATACATGAGTTACTATCCCTGAGTCACCTTTTCCAAAATGCTACAATTCAGAGGGGTCAGCATGCAGGTGTCCACAAGAGTAATGTTCAGTTTGGGCCTTGGGATCATCATTGAGTTGAACCTAATAGAATATGCTGCAATGTGAAGGATTTTCTAAAGAGCCCCATGAATGTTGGAGCTAATCAGGTCTTGGTACAGAGAATTAAAAAAAAAAAAGAGTTAAAAAAAATACATTATTCACAGGATAAAATGTGCCATTTTGTGCTACAGAGTTTTTAAAATGTGTCACATGGACGTACTTAAACTTTGGTAAAAATGCCAAAAACTTGGTCATGACCAGCCTTACTATTGGAACAATAGCCTGAAGAATTCAGTGAAAAAGGCAGAGGGTGATTGGCAGTTTCACAGCTTACTGAAAACCAAGCATGTCCCAACAGAGCACAGATTTAATGGTTGTGATTACCACCAGCTGTACTACTAGGCTCTACCTGGTGATTAACCTTTAATTCAACCATTGGTTTCATGCTCGCTGGTATAGAAAAATGTTTGAATTTCCTTTTCTTGCTGTCATCTGTGGTAATTCAGAAAAGATAAGATACCTCATGAGCCTCTGACCTGCCCAGGACTTGTGGTAAAGGTGACTTTTGCCCCAGGCAATGGCAGGAACCGAGGTGAGCAGGCAGCACTGAGCAGCCTTAGGTGGAATGTGCCCAAATGCAGAATCAGCCCCGGGAGAGCCCTCACAGGGACCCTGGGGAAGGGCTCCTGCACAGTAGCTGAACTTCAGTGCTAAAAGTTTAGAACGGGGCTAGTGTTTCAAGGAATTAATGAGGATCTTCTCAACATACAGAGCGTGCTGAGCGGGGCCCCCAGTGCGGCCATCTGCCTTAGGTCGGGCCTTTGCCTCGGCAGGGCTCGAGCCTTTGCTTCGGGCAGGCAGCGCAGCCGGGGAATGCTGAACTTGTGCTACTTGAACTGCTCCGGACACCTTCCAAAGCCGTTATAACACTGAGCTGAACATCAGAGGAGCAGCGCCGTGCCCAGGAGCTGTGCTACGAGGAGAGGCTTCCCGCGGGGCGCTCAGAAACCCCCGCGCGTTTGGACGAGCGGAGCCAGC